CACCCGGGCCGCCCAGGGCCTTTGTCCCGGCGAGGCCCGCGAAGTAGAGAAAGGGGAGAAGGACCCGGGAGCGGCTCTGGAGGAACTGCCCCTCTTCACAGGTTGCGAGCTGAAGGCTGACAAAGATTACCATTTCAAGGTGGATAATGACGAAAACGAGCACCAGTTGTCACTGAGAACGGTGAGTTCGAAGGGAAAGAGAAGGCAGATAGTGCTCACGACCCGGCGCCAGCTTGACCTATTCGTACGCTCCCGCCACACAACTTGACTGAGAGTAACTGTGGAACCCAGTCTGATTTTGTCAGTTGAACCATGGACCATAGCCTCTTGGGTCAGGTGATAACTGTTGGTTGTGCCTTCATAATGCATTTCTTATACTTATACAAACTAGAATTTGGAGGGATTACAAGACAGCTGGCATTGAACTAACCCTATTCTTTTTTGTTGTTCAGGTTAGTTTAGGGGCTGGTGCAAAAGATGAACTGCATATCGTTGAAGCAGAGGCAATGAATTATGAGGGAAGTCCAATTAAGGTTACACTGGCAACTTTGAAAATGTCTGTACAGCCAACGGTAAGACTGCTTAAACTTTGGGGTTTATGTTACTTTCAGCCTCCTAAGATTGGTACTGTTGAGGTTACACAAAGATGAGGAAGGGGCTCTCTTGGTCTTTGTTCCTGTGTTCCGACTTGCACTTCAGAACTTGGAACAGTCACATGGTTTCTGGTGTCTGTTAGAGGTGGTAAATTGGTTCATGGGTTTGTTGAAGGTTTGATGAGAAATGCTCATTTACAGCATTTTCACAACATTTAAGATTTTTCTCCTCTTCAGGTGTCTCTTGGGGGCTTTGAAATCACACCGCCTGTGGTCCTGAGGCTGAAGTGTGGGTCAGGGCCTGTGCACATTAGCGGACAGCACTTAGTTGCTGTGGAGGAGGATGCAGAGTCAGAAGATGAGGAAGAGGAGGATGTAAAGCTGTTGAGTGTGTCTGGAAAGCGATCTGCCCCTGGAGGTGGTAGCAAGGTTCCACAGGTAGATGTGATTTTTACTGTTGTGGATTGTGTTCTAGCTAGCTTTTTTGTTTTGGTGACAAAGAGCAGCGCTCGCTCACAAGTATATACTTGCTTTTATCAGAAAAAAGTAAAGCTTGCTGAGGAAGATGAGGAGGAAGAGGATGAAGATGATGATGAGGAAGAAGAGTAAGTACAACAATCTTCAATCTTAGCATGCATTAAGTTGGAACTAATAGCCCCATCTTCTGGGCCTTACTAAGGTTTTTCTCAAGTAACTGTCACAGTTTTTATATTTGTTCTTCAGGGCATAAGCTTTTAGAAATGAAGGTCCAAATCTGGGAAGGGAATGCAGCCATCAGTATGGGGCTTTCCAGTTCCTCTCAGCCACCACTCTTCCACTTGAGCATGCCTCCAGTGAACCCTAACTTAAGAATCTTCGAAATTGTCCCCATGGAATGGCTTGACCTCACAGATTAGTCTCCAGAGTAGCTGGGATGACAGGCATGAGCCACTGGCCCCAAAGTTCAGTTTAGTGGTGCGGACAATGAATGGATGCCGGTGGAGGAACAGGTGTTACTGGGTTCACTGGTGAGGTGTCTGCTGCCCATCAAAGCTGACAGGCAAATGAGACAGTGCCTCAGTGCCAGCCCTTCCTTCTTCACCTCTCTTAAACTAGAAAATTGAAGCTTTTTTTTTTTTTGGTCTGGTCGTGGGGCCTGAACTTTGTGCCTGGGCGCTGTCCCTCAGCTCAAGGCTAGCGCTCTACCACTTGAGACACAGCGCCACTTCTGGCTTTTTTCTTTTTGCTTATGTGGTGCTGAGGAATCAAACCCAGGGCCTCATGCTTGCAAGGCAAAGGGAAATCTTTTACTTATTTATTTATTTTTCGGGTTCGATCGTGGACCTGAACTCTCTAGGCCTGGGTGCTGTACCTCAGCTTTTCAGCTCAAGGCTCGCGCTCTACCACTTGAGACACAGCGCCACTTCCGGCTGTTTTTTTCTGCTTTATGTGTTGCTGAGGAATTGAACCCAGGGCCTCATGCATGCAAGGCAAGCGCTCTGCCACTGAGCCATCTTCCCAGCCCCAGGCTTTTCTTTTTTAATGCTTAGAAACCATGGTTCTCTAAGTCTTAGGATAAAAATTTCCATTTGTACTAGGCAAATCAGTTACCAGCTTAGTGGGCTCTGCTATTAAGGGGAATGGTATAGTGTGTCACTATGTTGTCCTCCTTGATCCTACATGAATTTGCATGTGTATTTAGTGTTAGCGCTGTGTCTGGTAGGTTGCACATCTGGCTTCAGCCACACAGTTGCTGCTTGTGCTGAGCATATGCACAGACATACCATCACTTATGCACTGCCAATATGATGTTTTATTTGTAGTGATGATGATGATTTTGATGACGAGGAAGCAGAAGAAAAAGTTCCAGTGAAGAAAGTGAGTAGATGTTGCAGGTTGTCAAAAGTGGCAGAAATGAATGTTACTCTGTATGTACCTGGTGAAAACTGGCTCAGGAAATGTCATGTTGGATACAAATTTCCTGAGAGCTTGAGACTGCTACAGTTGGCATTTTGCCAGACGAATGCTTTGTTTTAGGAATGACACAGGGTTAACCTTGAGGGATTCAGATGACTAATCTCTTTAATTTCAGTCTATACGAGATACTCCAGCCAAAAATGCACAAAAATCAAACCAGAACGGAAAAGACTCAAAACCAGCAACACCAAGATCAAAAGTAAGTAGTAGCACATAAGTAAGAGACGGGCCTCAATGGGTTATGGATATACCTGACCTGTCTGAAATTTGGACATTTGGAGATCCTAGTAAATGACAGGGGAGGGGCTTGGTAGTGTACATACCTGTAGTTCTAGCTACTGTGGAGACCGTCAAAAAAACAACGTAGACAAAAATAAAGCTATAGACTGGTATGGTTCAAGAGCCTGATTTAAGTCTCCAATGCCACAAAAAAGGTAAACTGCGCTTGACTAAGCATTGGGGTTCACCACACACTTTGGCCAAGAGCCTGCTGGGAACCAAGCCCGTAGAAGTGTTCCATGCACAGGTTTGCTGTAAGGAATTACACTTACCTGGCAGAGGATAATGGCTTTGTTTGGTGTTAGATTTATGAGCTGAAATTGACATTTAAAAATTAAACTACAAAAGAGGACTCTGTTAATTCTCCTAAGTGGTTTTGTGTTGTGAGTGTTCAGCTAGTTTGAATTCCCTGTGGGCGCTGTACTGAGGTTTTTGTTAAAGCTTAACCCTCTGTCAAGGAAGCATAGCTCTACTGTTCAGTGGTTAATGAGAGAAGTCTCACTGACTTTTCTGGCCCAGACCACTTACTATATCCTCAGGCAGCCTCTGAGCAACTAGGATTATAGATGTGATCCATAGGTGGCCTGCTAAGAAATGATTTTTAGAAACATGTACAGCATAATTTGCATATGGCTATAGTAGTTTAAGTTGAAGAGCTATATGTTATATTAATACACTCATAGCAGTCTTTTTCATTTTTTTCCAGGGTCAAGAATCCTTCAAAAAACAGGAAAAAACTCCTAAAACACCAAAAGGACCTAGTTCAGTAGAAGACATTAAAGCAAAAATGCAAGCAAGTATAGAAAAAGTGAGTAAAATATTTAGATAGGTCTTTTTCCATTTCAAATTGAGTCTCTGGCAACTTGGATGAATTGTTGTCATTGCCCTTTTGGTGGTATGTGGCTTTTTTCTAAGTGGATTGCAAAAATTAGCTAGTTAATTTGCAATCTTGTGTGATACCTTTCCATTAGAAAGTACCAGCACATCACAAGTTAGAGATAAAATGGAGCTCTACCTGTTCTGATACCCAGCAGCACCAGCAGGGGGCGCATGAGTCTTCAGTAGCTGAGCCCTGAGTGCTGTGACATAGTTGCTTGGTAGACTAAACAGAATGGTTATATTTGCTTTTCAAAACCCCCTGATCCCCAGGTCAGTCCTGGGCGGCACCTTGGGTTTGTGTGTGGCTTACCAGGCTTACATCCAGTCTCCTTTTGTCTTCGATGTACAAGGAGGCTTCAGCTTTCGTCCTGCATTTACTCCTGGGGACTAAACTCCTGAGCGATGGACTTGCACGGATAGAGCCGTGAATGTAATGCCTTGATATCACCCTCGAGGGTGAGGACAGGCTGCCAGCGCCTTTCCCCGGTCCTTGTCCCGCGGCCACGCAGGCTCTGTGCAGTGAGGAGTGCGTTAGGAACCTAGTACTGCAATGCCTTGCTCTGCTGCCATCGCTGTAAACTTGCTTTCCTAATATCACTGATTTGTTTTTGCCCCTTGCATACAGTGCTAAAATGATGCCCCTCCCCCAGTTTTAATGTGGTCCTGTCTCCTTGGTTTGATTGCAGGCACTTTGAACAGCCCTGGGCACTACTGGTAAATTAAAGCCCAAAGATGGGGAAAGAGGAAAAGGAGAAACAGATAGAGTCCATACTGACTATCATCAACAATCCAGACTGAAGTCTTCTATCTTAATCTCAATCCCCTTTCCTGATTTGCCACCCATACCCCCTCCAGGCTGGAAGCAATCTTGGTTTCCTAACGCACTCTTGGTGCGGCTGCTGTGATTGAGTAATCCTTGCGTCCTGCTTTCTTTTGTGCATGTGCTCCATCAATTTGACCATGCCTTAGTCCACTTTGTATCCCGTAGCTGCTCAATAAATATTTGAATGAATCAAATAAGGATGTATGTGGCACTAATTTTCAAATGGAGACTGTAGTGAGGTTTGTTTTCTAGGCATTTTCTGTGATAGAGGCAAAATAATATAGCTGCTTCTGGCATGTGGAAGCCATCTCAGATGCATGAAAGATAGCAAGGGCAAAAAGAAATTAATATTTAAAAGTAGGGAAAGAGATGTTCCATGTTCAGTAGGCCAAATTAAAAATTCCACAGTAGTGATGGGTATATTTTAAGGTGTGTGTAATAACGTCTTAAATTTGGTGACAAACTCTTGGGTATTTATGATGTGTTTCTTTAAGAGAGATTAGTCCCTGTCAGTCTTTTCCCTGTTCAGCATTATAGCCCCAAACTGGTATTTGTAATTAGTGTTTGCTGGTATAGCTAAAGGTTGCTCTGTTGGCAAGCATGGATCTCAGAAGGGGAGCCTGTGTTGCTTTGACTCTGATTCTGGATGGTAGAGAGTACCGAGGAGCTGACTTGTTACCTACTGAGGTTTGCATGCCTGGTCTTAAAAAAATTGAACCTCACAGCAAAACTTAGGAACACCATGGCTTTAGTGTGCTATCCAAATATGTGTTTTGGGTGCACAATGACACTGAGTAGTTTTTTAAAGCGAATTGGTGGGAACTGGTCCATGTGTTAAATAGCATGTAAATCTTGAAGGAATTGTGTTTTTGTTTTGTTTTGCTTACCCTTAATTTTTTTCCCCCCCTCAATAGGGTGGTTCTCTCCCCAAAGTGGAAGCCAAGTTCATCAATTACGTGAAGAATTGCTTCCGGATGACTGACCAGGAGGTAACTGATTATTCTGAGATGACCAAATAAAAATCTCTTATGATTTATTATTTTCTCTTAGTCTCTCAAGTTGTTGGCTTCTTTTAAAAGGTTCCTAACCACAGACAATACTTAATATGTGGAAACTCTTTAAGAATTTAGTTGGCAGAGGCTGAAAAGATAGCTTTTTTAGTACATTTTTTCCTAGCTTTTATAAAGTATCTCTTGGTTACTGGGCTTGGCTTTTCTTTTTGGGTACTACTTTGGCTGGGGGAAGTAGAGCTGTGGTTTTTCCTTGCCGCTCCTTTCGGGCTGCTTTTGGCGGCCTGTGTTTTTGCTTTTTTGAGCGGATAGAGAAGACTACAGAAGGTGGACTGGGAAAACGCTTGGCTGCAATCAGCCTGAAGGCTGTGTCAAGGGGGCATGTATGTGGCTGGCTGTCTTATCTTCGCATTTTTGTTAGGCCATACCCAGACCCACTGCTTCCACAGGCCAGATGCGTCCTCTGCCATTACTTCCTCTTCTAGACTAAGGATTCTGGCTCTGCCCATAGTTTTTCTTTCTCAGTTGGATTGTTGCAGCAGCATTTTACATGAGCATTAGTTGGATGTTTCAGTTTCGAAGCTTAGAATCCATTGAAGCATATATGGCTGTGGGAGGTCAGCTTAGAACAACTTGGTTGTGATGTTACCAAATGTAGTTCTTGGTTTTCTGCTATTTGTGTATAGTGATTTGTGAACTACGCAGGCTCTTGTGTAGTTGAACTGTAGAGTTCTTTAGTATTAAAGCTGGTAGAAATCCCAATTGTATGTATTAGCAGCTAGGCACACATTAGAGGTGGGTATATGTCTTCAGCTTAGCCAGGAAAGCACCCCTGGCTTGGGGGTGGTGGGATCAGTCAGGTCTGTGATAGGAAGTATTCTGTCCATGTCTGAATGAACACAGCAGTGTGTACTGCTTGTGGCTGAGAAAGGGGCCTTTTAAACACTGCCTAGGCTGGCCTCCAAATAAGGACTCCAGGCATATGACCACAGTACCTGGCTTGTTTGGGGGTTGCAGATCTAAAGAGCAGCAGGCAGTGTCCATTGTGTCAAGATCGTCACTGACAAAAGTATCAAGAGACATTAATTCCCAAGTGGGGAAAAAGCCTGATGCTGTGAGGTAGAATTTCATTTTTTGAGAAGTTTGATACAGTAAATATTCACCCCTGGTCAAAAAGGAAGTAATACAGTTGACCCACCCAGCATTAGTCGTTATGAAATATAGGTGAGAAGGGTCTTAGTGAAAGGTACTTAGGAGCTTGGATCAACTTGACGGGGTGGTTGGCAGAGTGAGTTAATGCTGGGCAAGGAGTGCAGTCGGGAGAGTCACCAGGGTGGTAGAGACCTCCACCTGCAAGTGGAGTATCCCACAAGCCAGTTCAGCTGTTCAGGTCCAGAGCAACTGGGAATGCAGGTGGGGTTGTTTAGGTCAGCTACTTTGACTCTTGACCCTGAAGCTGGGTACTGCCTGCGATTAAACAGTATTGGCCAGGTCTTCATCTTTGACTCCCTTGACTGACGATTCCTATGTTTCATTAGCCTGTAACTCGTTGTATACAGTACCTTATCAGGAGGCTTTATGGTCTGTAAAATAATGCTTCTTAACCTCCTTTTTTTCTTTTGTCTTCAGGCTATTCAAGATCTCTGGCAATGGAGGAAGTCTCTTTAAGAAAGTACTTTGAACAGTTTGTTGAAATTCCGTCTCATTTCATTTCTGTAAGAGTTGATATCTGGCTGTCCTTTTTATAATGCAAAGTGAGAACTTTCCCTACTGTGTTTGATAAATGTTGTTCAGGCTCCCGCTGCCAAGAACCTGTTGTCCAAAATGCCTGTTTAGTTTTTAAAGACGGAGCTCCGCCCTGTGCTTGGACTTAAGTATGTGTGGAATGCTATGGTGGGCCTAGTAGAAGTGATGGTCAGATGTGAAGATGGTGGGGTAAAATATACACGGGAAATAAACTCAGTATTTTAATAAAGTAGCACTGTTTCTTTGTATTAAGCTTGTGCTTTATCAGAAATAAACTTGCATGGCAAAATGGCATCCTACCCTGAGAATGAATCTCTGCCTGATGTAGTGGCAATTAGGGCTATGCAGATGCTTCCAGATGTGAAGCCCCCCTCTCCTAGAAGGGAGACTGGCTGGAGTAGCTTTTCTAACCTGGCTTCTGAGGACAACAGGAGTGACCTGCGAAAGGGGGGGTGTTATTTCCAATAAAGATAAAATAATGGTTGTTGAATCGCGGGCCGAGTCTGATCTCCAAGATGGGCATTTTGGGGAATCTCAGTGTACACCCTCTGGTCTTCCTTAGACTTCTCCAAGGTGCCGTGGTGCTTGTTTCTCTGCATATCTTTGCAGAGGGATAGTTACATGAGTCAGGTAGTGAGTGCGTTTCCTTTGGTACAGTTCTGTTCCCTCATTGTAGTCCTTTCCATCTCTACCCATGAGTTTTATAGTTCCATCAAGGCTGAGTGAGCACCGCTGCACCTCCCTTTCCAAAGATTTACTCTTGAATATGACTATGACAGGAAGGCAATCATTAAAAGCTAGAAATGAAGAGGGAAAGATTCCTTGTTCCTTTAAGTTTCACTATGAATGTTTGGTACTTAGTGTTGTGCCCTTGTGTTTTTCCTAAGTATCCTCTCGGTCTGGCTGTATCCAGAATCCTGTCCGGGCTTGGCTTACCTCAACATGGTTCTGGGTCTATCCACTTCCTTGCATATGGCCGTGTACAAGTACAGCACAAATAAGTACATCTGGGCTTCCTTGGCTTTTGGCTAGTGCAACAGTGAACACAGATTTGCAGGTGTTCTTAGATCCTGGCTCATGTTCAAGGTAGATGCCCGCCAGTGGTATGGCTGGGTCATAGCCAAAGCTTTCTAAAAATACCAAAGTGGAGCTGTGGCTCAAGTGCTGTACCTCCAACAGTGGGCAAACATCTTGCCTTGAGGGTGAGGTCTTAGTGTCCCCAGTACTGCTGGCACATGCGTGGCACAGGCCGCAAGGGGGCAGTGTTGTTAGTGGTTGGTCAGACTGCTGCGGGAGCAGGGTCAGGAGCTTTTCCTTACAGTGAAGGAAATCCCCTGCACTCACCATCCTGGACCTCAGTCCAGGTTGTGCCAATGCCCCAAAGTTTATACTGGTTTATCACAAGACTAGTTTTGACTTAACACCAGCCTCAGCGAACGTGTGAGTAGTTAACTGTTGTAGACCATCTTGAGCTTTGTGAAGTTGCAGGGGGGAAAAAAGGCTGTTCTGGATTCTAGACATAAGTTAAATTCGTTCCCTTGTATTAGTTCTTGACCCAAAACATTGCCCTGACTCATGGGCGTGAAAGTAGAAGCTGGTTTTGTACAGTACTGGGGCTTGAGCTCAGAACCGAGCACTGCCCCTTAGCCTTATTAAAGGCCGCTGTTCAGCGTGTTGCTGGTTAATTGGAGAAAAGACACGGACTTTCTCTTTAAGTAGCTAAGCTTACAGGTATGGGCTGCCGTGGATCTGCCCCTCGGGCTCTGGGACCAGCCCTTGGAGGCTGTGTGGTGTCACTGGCTTGCAGAATCAAGTCTTCAGATGCACGTCAGATGGTTTTCTCACATTGAGGGGTAGGCAGAAGAGAAATGACAATTCATTCTGTGTCCCCGAGTTCTAGGGATGTAGGTAAGCCAAGTAGTTAAGACCTGCAGGGCTTGCATTTCCTTAGCTGTTGAAGCATTGCCTTCTCCTGCCAGAACTGGCCTATCTAGAGCTGACTTCCAACACTTCAGAGAGCAAGCCAGTGACCTCGGCCACGCTACTGCACAGGACTAAACAGTGCAGCTAAACCCTTAGTTTCAAACGAGTAGTGGCAGGTAAGGGTCAGTGGGAAGGATCACAGACCTGTCTGGTTGTCCTTAGGCAAGACAGTACCCGTGGCTGGAGGTGGGAAGCTGGCCTCGGGTGTGTTCAAATGGTTTTGCCAAAACTGAAGTGCACACACTTGAGATGCTTGCAGTAAACAGCATGTAGCTGGCTGGGCCCTGGCGGATCATACCGCACCTGTAATCCTAGCTGCTCAGGAGGCTGAGATCCGCAGACCCATGCCCTTCCAGAGCAGCACAGGCGGTCTGTAACCAGTAAAGAAGGAGGGGGAGCTGCGGGTCAAAGTGGCAGAGCACTAGCCTTGAGCTCCAAGAGACGGGGCCCTTGCC